AACATAATATAATATATAATATAGTGGGCTTTATATTTATTTTATTAAATATATATACTATATATAATACAAATATATTAATGATTTAGATATAAATATACAATATCTATAATCTATATTTGTTTTATTGATATATTTGTTTTATATATAATATAATTAATTATTTTATTAATATTTATTTGTACTATATAATATATATAATAATATATAATATAATATATTATAATATAAATACAAATATAAATTAATAATATAAATATAAATATAAGGAGGGAGGCAAAATGGGGTTTGAGGTTCCTATTTTAAGTTTCCATCATTTTAGGGGGAACTTTTTTTCTTAAGCACAAAGAATTCTAGGGGAATCTTCTTTACAGTATAAGTTCCGAGCGTCAAACACATAACTTGTACAGTAATGGGGAAGTTCCTTCTTCCTCCCCCTAACTTGATGTTATCAAACAAGCTTTAGACTTTTAGTACAAGAACTCCTTGGGTCAGATTTTAAATCAGGTAGTTCAAGTGAGTCATTAACTAAAATAAAAGTTAAAAAAAAAAAAATCTCGATCTTTATAACTGGCTTAAGTCATCCGATTTAAGATTTAATGGTATAACAATGGCAAATGGCCTCATAGTATACAATCGCAATTACAAACAATACAAAGATGAAAGAGTGTCATTTGATGGAAAGCATGACGAGAAGCTCTACTCTGAAAGGGAAGAATATGAGACCATAGAGAATTTATGGTCATGAATGGCATCACGGTCCCTGTATAGAAGGACCTTGATGGAGGGATAGTTAGTCTCTTATTAGGGTAGTTCCCCAGGGCGGAGGGATAGTTAGTCTCTTATTAGGGTAGTTCCCCAGAGCATATTTGGTTCATATAATATTTTTGCATGTATGGAAATTTGGTTCGTTTAATATTTTTGCATGTATGGAAATTATTTCACATGATTTGGTTCACAACAAAAACATTTACCACAAAAATGGACTAGTTGGAGTGAAAAATCTCCATACCTTATCATATGGCAGCGTTATTTCATGTAGAAATATTTTCACAAAAAAAAAATCACACTAAAGGAATATTTGGTTCCTATGAAATTTTTTTCGCGAAAATATCTTCACACGAAAGAACTCTCCATATCATAAGGTATTGATATTTTTTTCACTCGAATTGATCCACAACAGAAATTTTACCACAAAAATGAACTAATTGGTATGAACAAATTCTATACCTAATCATATGGCAGAGTTATTCCATGTGAAAATATTTTCACAAAAAAAAATTACACTAAAGGCATATTTGGTTTGTATAAAATTTATTTCGAAAAAATATTTTCACATGACAGAACTTTCCATGTGGTAAGGTATGAAATTTTTTTCATACCAACTGATCCACAAGAGAAACTTTTACCACAAACATGGAACAATTCGTGTGAAATATTCCATTCCTAATCCTATGGCAGTGAAAATATTTTCACACAAAAAATTTCATGCGAACCATATGTGCCCTAAAATGGAACATTGGCCCGTTTGGTTCTTTGGAAAATTAACCTCGCGACTTGCCTATTTTTGGAAAAAGACTCCTAAAATAGGTGGAGGATTTATTTCTTGAAACTTTATGTTTTTGTCCCCCTATCAGCTGCCTCCTCCATGTACTTTTGCCCTCTCTCTCTAGTGAACTCTCGGTTCTCTTTTGAATTTTCAACAAAGTTTTTGAGACACGGTAAAGTTCCATATTTGACAATGCAGACTTTACATTACTTGAGAAGTTTGTATATAACCAATTCGAATTTATTTTGTAAAAATCAGATTGAGTTGAGACTTTGAAGGTGTGGGAACCTCACTCATTTATAAAAATAAAAAAATAACAAAAATTCAAAACAAAACAGTCCAAAATAGCCCTAACTATTCAGGCGTATTTTGGTCTTTTTAATTTTGAAGGGTGAGAAATATAGATGTCTCGAAATTTAACATAATTTGATTCATAAAAAAAAATGAAAATTGAAAGAATCTATAACCTGAAGCCTTGTGCTAAAATTCTATAACCACAAAGCTTCCTTGGTAGCCTCATAACAAGCTACAAATTCTACTTCCCTAGTCGATGACTCCAGCATGAAACGCTCCACCATCCATCATGAAGATATAACCTGGTGTCGACTTCCTATCATCTGGATGGGCAGCAAAAGCTATAACCGAATATCCAATCACATCTAGATAATAAAATTTACTTTTGTGAGTATAATGTTATTTATCCCTTGCATATACATCATTATTTTCTCCGCCACTTTCTAATGTTCAAGCCATAGTTAAGGGAACCGTAGAGTTAGGGTGGCAGCCCCTTGATCCCACAGTTCCTCCAAGGGATCATGTAGGGACCTCGGTTTTTCGATTTTGGGATCTCGGTCCAAAACAAAGGGGACCATGTTCTATCCATTAGTGGAATCCAATTCCATTTCGAAATAGATCCTTGCTCCCATCAACTATCGTCCAAAGTTTTGGTACATTAAATATTGGGTTCCATGTTTGTGGGTTTTACTTTCATTGATAGATGAATCCAGTTCTATTTTGAAATAGACCCCTGCTTCCATCAACCATGGTCCAAAGCTTTGGTACATTAAAATCTTGGGTTCCATATTTCTAGGTTCTGCTTTCATTAATAGATGATATTAATTCCCATCATTTAGGAATCATAAGTTCTATCATATTAAAATCCATTCGTTTTTTTGCATAGCATGAAGTTCTATTATTTTATATTCTTAATTTGAACTAGGCATAGTCTAGAGTGGCCCATTGTTTTATTAAATTCTTGATTTAAACTAAACATAATCTAGAGTGACCCATTGTTTTATTAAGCCCTATCGTGTAAGTTGTCCCTCTTACTTGTGAGGACATATATTTCATTTAAAATCATATATTTATGTTGTCCTATTGTTTTAGAGTCTTAACTCACAATAATGAATACTCTTAGTTATGAGATGATAATATATGCTTTCATTTCAAGCTTTAAAAAACTTCTTAAGTTCTTTTACATTAGAGAGGGAGAGAAAGAAAGAAAGAGAGAGATAGAGACAGAGAGTAGTTCATCTTGTCCTTTTCCCCTTCGAAGATCTAGCATTTGAGAAACAATGGAATCATAGGAGACTACATTCTAAGAAGATGACCCTTGAGTGGTAGGATTTTGGGTTGTCAGGGACTCAGAGGAAATAGTGCATACCAAACTTGTGTCATGGCCTTGAGATGTGGTGGGAGGGACAAGCTTTGGTAATGGAGCACAATAACGAGCCTCATCATCAGCATCAGCGCAAAGAAGAGAGAGATAGAAGAGAAAGAGAGAGCGAATGCATACAGTGCCCTAGGCTCGTTAACAAGGATAGTTTTTGACAAGTACAATTAACAAGAGGGAGATTTGGTGTTTGCATGAGAAAATAGAGAATGTCTCCATCACACACTTCTCGTGCTAACACCTAATGGCCCAACATGACGCCCTTCTGTAAATCTCTAGGATTAGCTCATCAGTAGCTTATGGGGTTTTACTTTCATAGTTACAAAACCTAATCACAGTGACAGAACCAAATCAATGCCCATTAGATACTGCACGATTTCTTACCCAAGAGGAACCCTGTCGGGCATAGTTTTGCATCCTTAAATTTACACACAAAGACAGAGACAGAGAGAGAGAGAGAGAGAGAGAGAGAGAGAGAGAGGAGGAGAGAGAGAGAGAGAGAAGAAAGAAAGAACAAACAAAAACAAAAGTAAAGAAACGAACGTAAACGTAACCGTCCGTCGTCGTACCGTACCGTACGTAAGAAAGTAACGTACGAC